CATGAAGTGATGGAACAACAAACCATCAGTATTAGCAAGGCGGGTATTACCACCACGCTGAACGCTCGCACTTCCATTCTAGCCGCTGCGAATCCATTACACGGACGTTATAACCCCAAGATGTCTCCAACACACAACATCAATCTCCCTGCGGCTCTTATGTCGAGATTTGATATCTTATTTTTAATATTGGACACACATAATAACGATCTGGATGAAGCGATGGCAAGTCACGTGGCGCACGTTCATAGATACGGTAAACATCCAAATATCGGTATTGAGGTACTGGACGCAAGCACTATTAGGTGATCGCATGTCGTTTTATTTTTTTTTTTTTTGTAAGGATCTTTTTTTTTTTGCAAACAATAATCTCATTAGTCTGCTTATAATAGACATTACATCGCCGAAGCTCGTGCGAAACGCCCTATTATTCCGCAAGAGCTTAAGGAATACATTGTTGGTTCTTATGTCGATCTCCGTCGAGAACAAAAAAATGACGAATATCGTAAGAAAGAGCATTCTCACGTAAGTCCACGTACGATCTTAGCGGTAATTCGGTTGGCGACCGCATTAGCAAGGATTCGACTTGCTGATAGTGTCATACGAGAAGACGTTGATGAAGCGTTAAGGTTACTCGAGGTGTCCAAAGATTCATTGAGAGATAAATCTAATCTCTCCAAGAGCGATAAAACGCCGACGTCTGCAATTTATGAAATGATTAATGAGATAAGATCCCGCACAGAAGGCGATTCTCTAGACTATGATCAGATAGTAAAAGAAGTTACTGTACGATACACTAAAGACCAGCTAGAAGATTGCATAGCAGAATACCAAGCCAATAATATATGGCACGTGAACGAAGATAGAACAAAGTTATTTTACGTAAATGAATCCGATTGATAATAAAGATAATTGATTGTCATTAAACACGTTGCTTCACATGATTTTAGCTATACTCTTCATAATAAATAACTGTATGAGAAGTAAATAAAAGATTTAAAAGATTTCAATTTCGTTAATATGTTTTATTTTATGAATGACAATCTGGAAATCCTCTGTATATCTGCATAAGTACGCACTAATGTACAGTATATCACAATTTAATTAATGAATGGTAATTTTTTTTTTATTTTTTTAATTGCAAAAATGAGCGATCTATCTAATGATCCGACTAATTTTTTAATAAAAAAACAATAAAGTTATTTATGGTCAATTAAACATTACTTTATTAAAAACAAATATAATTTGTGTTATAGATCTTTGATATTTGATTTTTTTTCATCTATTAATGCTAATCTATAAAAATTAAAAAAAAAAGCCAAGTTTGAATATTAGTCACACACTATATATTATGAGTTTACAAAATTTTAATCTCTATGCATATGAGTAATTATTTTTTGAGTGTTTTCTGGATTCTAAATTATTAATCCAAACTTAAAAGATTTGGATCGCTCCCAAAATATTTCCATATGTTTAATGCACCATCTTGAAACCAAATTTCCCTTTTTTTATTAATGAAATTTTAAGATTAATTCGATAATAATATAATTTTATTGTTGAAGTTTTTTTTCAATGTATCGATTGATAGGAGGAAAGAACATTATTATATTAAATAGTCACTCTATGCTATTCTATAAGGAGTTCGCTAGATTTCAATCAAACAATACAAAAATTATTACAAGCATGATTGATGAAATAAAGCAATTGAATTGGAATAATAAATTATATTATCGTCTTGTTACTTGCCACTGTCTCACTCAATTTTCCTTTTATCCAGTTCTCTTTTCTATATTGGTAGGTTAAATTTTAATTTCAATTGAGTTCCTACAAATATAGGTCCAGCAATTAGACCTGCAAATAATATAAATGTTATCAAGAACAAAAGTCCGTAAGTCCACGTGATATTCGCCCTTCTTCGTCTCTGTTTTATGGAGAATATCGGTGCCCGAATTTGCTTGCTCGGTCTCAACCAGAACAACATGGTGGAATGCAATCTATCGATCCAAGGTATTAAACAAATAGGCGCAAGCATAAACAGAAGGATGTGACCCAGTATAAAGTCGGCTGCGAAAAGTGACATCTCGACAATTTTGCAAATATATTCTCGGAAAGGTTGTGTAATTGTTAACCCACGACCTTGCCATTTTCCTGTCCACCAAGCCTTATTCGTCTCGTCATGCTTGAATTCACGGGATAAAAATATCACGATCAAAGTTTTAAAAATAAATCTTTGAATAGCGGCTAATGCGATCATTCCCAAGATGGCGTGAGCAAGATTCCATGCTTCGATAAACCACAAAAGTTCGAAGGCGCCTATTAAATTTAGGACAGACCAAGTATGCGCTATCGCGGCGACAACGGATCCAAACCTGGGGAAGCAGTTACCCACAAACGGACCCAGTAAGAATGATACAAAGAAAAGACCAGCTAGCATACTTGCGTTTAATACGATAGGAATGACGGCTATCACGCTGACACGAATGATGGAACTTGGACCTTTGTTAGGGTGACCGGGGTTCAGCGGATCGAAACTTTTGACAAACATGAATGCTATGACACAAAAGGCGGCTATTATAAACGGAGAGACGATCTCAGACGCAAAGATGACGACAAGACTTGGACGGGGGATATCTCCAACAGTTTTCTCCGAGGGATGACCCAATTTCTTACGTTTGTACCCAGTAATCATCGTTCTGGACACGCGACAATAAGCGATCCAGGAGTTTGCATGACTTTTTGAATTTCCCCGGGACATCCATCTCAAAAATTCCCGATAATCGACAAGAAACTCCGTGAAAGAGAATTGGTGTGGATTGAAGATGAATGGTGATATTGATAACGCTACGACCGACACCCAAAAGTAGATTAGATGCGGAATCCACATAGTCATGGTTATAAAGAGCAAGATCAACAAGATCCTCATCCCAAAATAAATGCTTGGACCGGCAAAGCGTGAATAGAGTATTGAGAACGGAATACGGGCGGTTGCGAATCCACGTCCCGTGGCGATATAGCGAGCACCACCAAAACTGAGATTCGTTATAATGCTGTTCGCATAAATTTGAGTAGAAAACACCTCAAAGAAAGGAGACAGCGACATGAAATGTTTTCCGAGACGCGTGGCACTACGCAAAAACCCCCTCTCGGTCAACTCTTGAAAGAACAACGGCAAAAATGCTACAAAGAATACGAAAAAGATAGAGATGGTCACACGCTTGATCCAATCAAAGAGGGGAACGAGGTTATAACACCCTGGAGGGCTGAGTTTAGCTGTTGGATCTGGATTGTAGTCACAAAGTGTCAAGGTAGAAGCCATTGCACCGATGAACATCATGCCCAACATAAACAAATGCACCGACATCATGATGAAAATGTTGTTCACATGGAACCCTGGATGTGCATAATAAAAGGTCAGGAACCGATCTAATGGAAGGTGAGTGCCGAGATAATAATATTCCCGGGACAGCATTTGTTCGCCCATTCCAGTGCCAATCTTGGTGTTGAAATGAAGGATCGAGCCAAATCCAAGATCGCGGCCTTTGCCGCACTGATAATATTCTGTGTGTTTAATCCGTCCGCCACGACTGAACGCATTCATACCCGCATAAATATCTTCATTGAGGTGAAGACCCTTCTGCGCTTTGGATACACCTATTACAATTGACATCAATCGCAAAATTAGTCATTTGTTTTCGATTCGGACTTTAATTGCCAAAATTTAAAATTTCGCATAGTACGATACTCACCGCCACGTGTGGTCATGAATATGGCATTCAAGAAATCAGGATGTCCATAATGCAGTCTACCACCTACTTTTGCCGTGATTCTTTGAGTTAGGGTGCCAAATGTTTGTTCTTTACCGGCCGCGACATCACCAAGTACGCCGTAATTTTCGGAGAAAATGTATTCACGAGCACCAACGATTGCCACTGGATCTTTGTTGGTCGATTCGGCGTTCGGAGAATATGGAGACGTGGATGGTGCCTCATACTCCTCAAATTCCCTAAGAACGCTACGGATTTTTAGGCACTCCTCGAGATAATTGTCCTGATTGGCATCCACCATTTGTAGATATTCGCCTCGATAGAAGATGATGGCATGATTCTGATTATCTGATTTGCCATCCCCAAGGATTGGGTTGCCAGGAAGTTGAATGCGGTATTTTGGCTTTCTCTTTCCGTCGGGTAATATATCACAATGGCCGTCAATTAATACAGAGAATACTTTTGGTTCTTCTCCTTCGTTCTCAGGTGGCAATTCATCGATATAAGCTATCTGAAGATCGGGATAAGCGCGTAAAAGGAATTCTGCGTTTTCCCATTCCTCTTCTTTGAATTTACTATATCTCTGCATCGATACCAAGAATTTGAACTTGCGCCGTGCCATCGCTGCCAATTTTTCCTCGAGTTTTTCTGGATTGTTTGCGAACATTGAGGTAATCTCCGGATTTTCAACACGATACAAGAGCTTAATGGCCTTTGAATAGTTCATGAAACCAGAAATTGTACGATATAGAGTCTGCGACCTAAGGGAAGCCCATATTCGTGTACGCAAGGTGTATTCTGGTGCCGAAGACTTAAAGCCAATGAAATAAAAAGGCAGGTCATCCGTGTTTTTGCTTTTTTCCTCTTTTCCTTTCGATTCTTTTCCGAATGAATCGTTGATGCCATTTTCTTTGGCGAAAACCTTGGTATCCTTGACAAAGTTATCCCATTCGATCGGGTGAGACTGTTTCAAGTATTCAAGCAAAGTGACTCGAGTGTTTTGATCTTCTTCACGAATGATTTCCCGCAGAGAGAGGAGAATCTTCTCCGAATAATGAGGAGTTAACACTGTGAACGTGGGCATATTCTGCACCGGCAATGAATCCGGAATTGGCGTTGATAAACTTTGCGCGAAGAAAGAGATTCGGCGTTCAGCTTCGCTCGCCGACGAAAAGAAGTCTGATGTATTGGAGGATACAAAAAGCTTGGGTTGTTCTAACGTCTGTCTACCGTCGTCCGAAGTAGTCTAGTTTAAATGGTGCAAAAGAAATAAAAAAGTATTTAACCATTGTTTAATGCAGGTATAAGGAATAAAAGAAGTTTTCTTTGTCATAGAAAACGTACCTTCTGGTACAACAATCTTTGCACATTGTCAATAGACAACAAATGCTCGCGATACATCGCGATGATGATTGCATTCCAAACTTGTGAGACGAGAAATTTTGGTTTGTACCTGACCTCCATGTTAGTGGCGGCCAAGATTTTGGCGTAGAGTCGCTTCGGCAACATCGAATAGACATTTCTCCAAGGGGTCCAGACGGAAATTCCAAGATAGAATGAGCGAAGGACCGAAAAAGCGGTGTTCCATATAATGTACCACAAATACGTGTCCAAGAAGAAGAGCACGAGATCTGTGATGATCATGAGCACAACGGTTGCTAGGGGCATGTAAGAACAAAGGTTGCCGGTAAGTCGATCACCGCAACCAACAACTCTATTGTTGGCTATTGCTTGCAAAGGACTAGCGAAGGAAAGTGACATGAAGTAATATGATTCGACGAATTTGCAGCCAAACACGCAGCACCAGAGAGCAATTGAAATGGCTCGATCTGTACTATTAAGTTTAGAGTAACTGGCGGTAAATGTTTGGATGGCCTGATATCTCTGCGAACTTTTTGATAATCCGCCGAACAATTTTGCGCTTGGTACTATGGCAAATGTCAATGTCGTCAATAACGAAACAAAAAATTGAACCATCCCTATTATTAAAGACATAGAACCAGAACGTGCTTCGGTGTATATGTAATATGTAGGTGCAGAATTGATGATCAATACAATCAACAAAAAGATGAATCGCCTTGTCGAGGCCAATATGTTGTCCATGTTCAGAGGAATGAAAAACAATTCGCAGATGCATCCGAACACCATGAATAAAGTAGATACCGCTCCACCGAGAGCTACAATAGACCATTGAACTGCAGGCTCCGGGTTATGAGGATTCGTATAAAGAAATGGGGTATTGTAGGCGATATAGTACCAAAAGACTGAGACATGAATAATCCATATACGAGTAAAGTTGACGGCGAGGTGGAGCCACGAACGCTTTTCTTTGTATGTCTTTTCAAACGCACGATTCCAATCTACCTGATCAAGCATCTGATAACGTTGGCTATGGGGTAATTCCATAAGACGCGTGGATCGATCTTTTAGGACTATACGCGCGATACTTTCCGGATACCAAAATAATTGATTGATGTCATCATAACCTATCGTCTCGGCATGATCTTTTTCTCTCTTGACGAATCTCCCACCGATTACCTCATACCCTTGACCACGAATGTAACGGTACAGCGGTGTCACAACACCTCTCAGGTATTCTCCTTCGGCAACCGGTTGCACCTTTGCCTTGCACTCGGGACTTTTTGCATAATCATCAGCAAGCTTAAATATGAAGCACAGGCATTCACTGGTAAAACGAAGCTGCGCAGCCTCACCCCATAACAACAGCCACAAGGCGAGTTGACGTATGCGGTCATACTGCGACATCTGATTCATGCGCTGATTCCACTGTTCCCTGAGACTACCGTCGCTTCTCGGATCCGGTGCATTCTTTCCATTTCTTGCATCGGCGAGCTGATCATCAAGATTCATACGAGTGGCGAAATACCACTTCCGATAATTAGCGTTTTCTCCACCAATGTAATCAGCGTGAAGAGTCAATAGAGCTTGGGATGGCGGCATTCGGGAAGCTCGTGAGTCCAGCATACACATGAGATGATCGTACATGTTACGCATGCTCTCTCTTTGAAATCCAAATTTATTGGTCAAATCAATGAAAATGTCCTCTATTTCTTCCTTTGAAACAGGAACTTGGTGATCCGAACCCCACGCCATGTACTCTGCCTGAGAACGTTGATTTCCACTGGGAACATGTGGATAATATAAACCATAATCCTTATTCTCATTGTATGTGAAATCCGGTGAATATTGATAATTCCTTCTAGCATCTGACATATTTCTCAGTGATTCCTGCAGAATGACGTGTCGTTAGTAACAAAAATAACATTGAAACAAATGTTATCGTCAAATGAACGCGAATACTCAACTGGAGAAGATGGACTGTTGGTTGACCCTGTTTCCGAATCCAAGTTACTACGTCCTTTGCCTTTTTTATTGCTGTGAAAACCTTTCATAGGAATATTAAAAAAAAATTCACGAAAACGATGAATTTTATATACTCATTATCGAATTGAAAAGTTGCAATAAATCTGAATTTTACGAACCATAATTTGATTCGACGGGAAATGCTTCGGCGGGATATGCGGTATCATGATGTGCTCCTTCCATGTCGTTTGGACTATCTTCGGTTTCGCTATCGTAATAATAATTCAACGTGTCATTTACCTCATGTTCTTCAGAACCGCGTCTATTTATTGGACGAGAATTCTTGGTTTTTAAATACAATGCTGGTGAATCATTCTTATAACGATGAACGACCTCGGGTGGTGTTAGGGGAGTTTGGGGTGATATTGGGGATGATAGGTATTGTTGCGGCAGAGGAGTGCTCGGAGTCGTTGGTACTCTAGGAGGTTGCCCTCGCGGGTCGTAAGACGCACCAGGACTTCGGGGGACGTGCGGACTGAGAGGAACACGCGGATTTTGCTGTCCGTTTTGCATGTATGGGTTAGGCAGTCCAGGCTGACCAATTTGTAGCTGTGGGGGTCTCTGATTTGGCGGACCGCGCGGTATAAATGGATTTGGTGGACCATGTTGATACGGATTTCGACCAGGACTCGGTAGTGGAAGAGGACTGGGAGGACCACGTGGTGAGCGTGGGCTATCCCCATACATTAGTTGTCCGTTGTTCGGATATCCCTGTGGATAACCTCCGTTGTTGGGGTTCAATTGATTTCTATTATATGATGAATTCGGATCCATTTTGCCTATGTACAGCGAACTTTTGCCGCAAAAAATTGCGAGAGGATTATTGAAGGGATAAGAGGATGGGTGGAACGAGAAGTATTAAATTCGAAATTTTCCTTGGGAACTTTATTTTCGCCTCTGTTAATGCATTGACTATTTCTTTTTGAATAGAAGAAACTAGTAACAAATGTTCCTATTCGCACAGGTGAATGAGTTAAATGACAATGAAATTTGAGGGAAGGAAGAAAATAGGTGAATGACGAAAGGGAAACGATGTGAAGAGGCGAAGAGTTAAAGGAACGGAAAAGAGAATTTTTTGCTGCCTCTATACACCAGCAGAGCAACGAGGAAAGAAAGAATGAGTAATCTAAGAGGTGCAACAAGTGAAGATAAATTGCATAGCTTGTGTTACTGCGGCTCCCTTTAATGCAGATGATACAAAGCATTGCAAGAAAAAATGCTAACCAGTAGCCGTTGTCGATAGTCAAAATATATAATAGACTAGCCAAATGGCCAACCAATACGTAAAGATTATGTCGAACCGTTTAATACAGTATAAATATAGTATGATATATGTATGTACGTATGTGTGCACGAGCTGTCGAAAAATATGGGAAGCATGGTCATCTCAATTTGGTAAGGATGACCTTTTAATTCCCTTCTAAACAAAGATGATGAGAACTATTTAAAGAAAGGTGTTATCCCTAATTTATCACCTTCGGATCCTGAGACCAAGTAAATAATATTTTTTTTTTCTTGTTAATACTAATAAATTCAATTTCACAGTCTAACGCAACAAGGACGCATGTAAAATTAAACCAATTAAAAATAACTTTGCCTATTGGCTATACGAATGCACCTGACATAGCTTAGTGATATATTATCAGAATGCTGTAATACATGAATGCATATGAATTTGCGATACGCAACGGGTTACCCCGGTCACCCTGTAACGGTAGTCTGCAAATCATAATTTTTTCCGTCGTGCACGTGCAACCGTGTGCGACATTATTCGAAGTGAATGTTAAATGAATTCCACCAACAGAGATCGAACCCTGATCGTATCTATAAATTTATTAGTTGAGTTAGTCATTTTTGGAGTCGAGGACTTTCACATAAATATTTTTAAAAGGAATAAGATGTATATATCATTAGTTTTCAATTACACTGTATCCATATAGCCTCACCTCAAGTCAAGAAGTATGTTACTTTTTTTTTTTTTTTTTTTTTTTTTATACAGTAAGATCTCTCTAAATGTAATCCTCCAAATGCAACTACTAAGTTTTACCTCTCTAAATGCAACTGCTGGCATGATTTAAATTATAAGTTTAATATTATTCTCCATAAATGCAAAACAATAGGTAACAATATATATATGTTGTTGCCTACTTATGTTAAACTTTTACTTACGAGTATACTTTCAACTATTTATTATTATTATTATTATTATTATTTTAATCCACAGTCAGGCTAACATGACATGTCTTTATTGTATATACTGAATATTTACAATTTATATGATTTTACATATTAACTCACCTATCACTAAAAAAACTATTTCTCTAGATGCAAATTAAAAAATAATATTTTACTTTTTTGCTGATTAGAATAAACCTTTAATCAGTAAAATCACTGTCTAGGGATCATTACTATAAATTATTTGAAGTTCTATTTATAACTTAAAAATCTAATTATTTGATTTTATGATTCTTCAATAATTTTTATAATATTATTTTTATTTTTTTGCAAAATTTTCTTGATCCAGATTTTTCAGTATAACTAATATAACCTCTTTGTAATTTTACTTATTCTAATTATATCTTTTATATTCAAATTCTCTTCAATTTATTACTTTTATACAATAACTATTTCGAATCTTTTTTCTGAATTTTTTTTATATTTTTTAATAGAATTTATTAATTATATTCTATATAGATATTAATAAGATCTTGTACTATTTTTTGAAATAATTCTTTAAAATATAATTTATTTTATTATTTTTTTTTTTATCCTAAGTTGAACTAGATATGTGTGTTTTATTAAATAGTTATATATTTTACATTATTAAATGTTTCGTTAAAGCTAAATCTCTATCTAACTTATTTGACTTTATTTTAAATTTCTTAAAACTCTAAGTATAACTTTGAAAGTAATTTATCATTTCATTAATAATTCAGGTATAAACCCTTTCAACTACTAACTTCATCATCTATGGATCATTATTGCAAATTACTCTTTGATATTCTAATCAGGCTTAGAATTCCAACTACTTTATTTCATACTCTACTTCTTTTATAAGAATTTTCTTAAGATTTCTATCTTCTAGTTTTTTTTCTTTTGGTAATAGTTCTTTTCTTGTTAAAGATATAGCTTTCTAATTTAAAAAAATTAGGAGTCTTCTTATTTTGTTTTTTCTACTGATCTCCTGAGTTTGTTTTTATTTAATAATCTTTTCGTATCTTGTTTTTCAAATTCTTTTTCGAACTTGATTACAAATACTTTTTTATATTTTTATTATCTATTTTCTAGTTTCTTTTCCTATGTGTTTATCATGATATTTGAGATCTACCATTTTTAGAATAAAGTCCTTTTTTATGAGGCCAAAATAAAAACTTAAAGTATTTTGACTAGTTATAAATGTCTGTTTTACTAGTCTAAAATTTACTTGTAAAACTCTTCTAGTTTTTTTTGATCATTGATATTTTGTTTATTAATTTTTTTCTCAACCTCTTTTCTTATTTCTTATAAAAGCTGTTTAAAAGCTTTTGAGAGTTTTGTCTATTTCTTTATTTCATATTTCTTGAAGTTAATTCTTATAGGCTAAATATTTTATCAAATGTTCTATTATTTTATTCTGTTGACTATATGCAATGTACTTTACTTGTTTATATATTGTAGATCAGATTTTATTACAATCAATTTATATAATTTTGGTAGCTTATCATTGATCAATTTAATGAGAAAACTTTTTTGTTAAGATTTTTTAAAGGATATATCTCATGTATAACCATCTTTTATTCTTTTTTACATTAGATCCTATGTAAAGTCTTGCTTTTCTAAAATCTGATGACTTTATTTTTTCTCTATTCAATTTTGCTGAATCTATTGATAAACTATTGTTTTATTGTTCGTATTTTTGATAAACTGCTTAGTTAAATCATCTAAAGTCTTGTTTTATTACCTGATTTCTATAATAATCTTATAGAAGTTAAAATCTCTCTATTTGATTAGTGGAAGTTTTAGGGCTTCTTTAATTAAGTTGTCTGCCTTTTTATTATAATGATTATTAAAATGTATTTTAACTTTGGTAAACTTTAGGTTTATTGTTTTTTTCTTTGTTAGCTTTACCATTTATGTCTATAAAGATTAATTTTTTTCTTTTAGCCATCTCTTATATATTCTTCTCAGATTCTCCTTTTCAATTTTCTTCTATTTAGTAATACACGCCTGACTATTTATATAAATCTCAACTGTACTATTAATGAGAACTACTAAAAGTATAGTTAAGATTATTACCAACTCAGTCTTGTAAAAGAAGGCCAATTATCTATTCCTGTTTGAAATCTGCTTTCTCTTCTAATATTTTCTATCTGAATCTATATAGTACTCATTTTCATTTCTTCTTTGATATAATTGATCAATGATCCATTAAAATAAAAGGTCAGCTTTTCTTTGAATCATAGATTGCATTGAAGTATTTCTATTAATTAATCTATATATATTTCTTTTTAATATTTTCTCTGATTATAGTTTTTTTCCAAGTTTTAATATCCATATAGTCTACTTTATTGTTTTGAGAAAAAGTCTTAAAAAAGTATCAATCTTTATAAATTCTTTTTATAATCATATTCTCAAGTGTTGCCTTGAAATTTAGAATTTTCAATTCTCCTATTCTTCTAATAAATATTCTTTTATTGAAATAAGATATTATATAGATTTCTTCTTTATCTTTTTTTATAATACAACTATTGTTTTGTATTGTTTCTTTTGAATATTCAAGGTATTATTGTAATATTGTCTCTTGATCATTATTAGTACTATAACAGATAAAGTGTTCCACTATTACATTATATTTTTCTTTTTCTTATTTTAGTTTTTTTTTAATTAATTATTTATTTTTGTTGTTTTATATTACCCATAGTTTATTTTGCTTGTTTTGATTAAGACTTATTTTGAGATATTTCAGTTTCTATTTTGTACAATCTTCTTTTCAATTTATTGTAAGCTGTTGTACTTATTCACTTGAAAGGTTTTTAATTATAATTTGATACTACTCTGGAATAGGTCCTTTGCTCATATTCTATATTAGTTGGAGTATTTACCAATTTCTTATTTTTATCTTTCCTGATCTAATAACTGATCTAAATATATCAATTTATTATTTCTTAAAGATGATATGATCTTTTTGTATTCTTCTAATATAAGATATTCTTGAATATAACTATTTTCTTTACTCTATTCAAATATTTCTTGTTATTTTTAATCATAAAAAGTTATTCCTATATTTTTTACCAATCTAGTTACCTGGAACAAGAAGTTGCCTTTTCTGATAGATGGCTAAGTGATTTGCATGTTAATAAATTAAGTGACTCCCAATATTTGATTTATACTTGCTTGAGTCTAATAATTATTGTGATCCCAACTGATCCTAGATCATTTAGTCTATTACATAAACCTGTTATTTGACTTTTTCATTGCAGTATCTAAATACTTTTCAAGTTGAAAATCTTTGAATAATGAATTATACTATTCAATATGGATCTACATAATACACTTTTATTTTTGAAAAGTTTTCAATATACTACTATTAATATATTGCATATTTTTCAAAACAATATGTTGTGTTATATTCTAAATTCTATTTTAAATATTAATACTCTATTTAAAATATAGAGAACTTATTTGTCAATTATTCATTTGTTTTTTAGGGCTCTAATAACTATATTAACTTCTTTAAATATACGTTTTTTTAGTTTAATTGCAATTTTTTTGATTGCCAGTTCAAATTTTCAGGA